TGTGGCGAATATGAAGATGATTTTCGATAAGCATTTTTGTTAATGAGAGAGAAGAATGTTTTCATTTCCATGGAAAAATAATAAACAAAACACCAATCTTGTCGAAAAAAGAAGACGGAAAAAATCCGCAATAATTATGCGTCAACCCAATACAATGGCGAAAGGTGTGACAAAGCGATCGTACGCTGAACTCCACTTTGATTCAAATATGAGTGCCCCCACGAACTAATTTTTACCTCTATCTTTTTCTCAGGACTTACTCGAATTAAATCCTTCAAGCTCAAGACTATTTCATCTTTTCAGCATTTCGTTGATTTTCTGTGTCCTGCTCAACAAATGAATTGTGTTCTCGACCGTTTTCTCACAGTTTCTTCTTTACAGGCGAAGGATTTCTTCTCGTTTTCGCTGTTCAATGAATCGAAATCTTTTGAAAATGTCGCCAATTATCGCGAGCAAATAAGACGGGTAAAGGATAGTGACGATGTGAGTTTCTATCTACCTTTGTTGAAGGTTAGATCTGTATGCTTTTTTTTCAAATCACGGCTTATCCACACGCGAAGAGTTCATGCTCTAAAGTATATTTATGGGAGGCACTGCGTTTTTCTCTTGTTTTTTTTTTTAATGAACGACTGTTGACTTGAATACTTACCCATTCCATTGGATCATAGATGCGAGTGAGGATGTAGTCAAGTTCTTCAACAGAAACTATGAGGGAATACCATGAAGCATTAGGGCTGCGACAAATTCAGATATTTGTTGCTCATGTCATAGTTTAAGATTAGATCTCTTCCTTGATCTAAATTGGATCTCTTTCAACAGATGCTCGCTTTTTTAGGTTCCAATGGTGCTAGTTGGAAATAAATGCGATCTTGCTCAACGTGCTGTTGACGGTCGGACTGTATCCGACGCAGCTAGGGCTTATGGTAAGAATTCGCTTCTCGGTTTCCTCATCTCTGAGTTCAGGGAAGTGAGGCGTTTCATCTTTTCTTGATTCATGTTTTCTTTATTTATGTGCACTGAGATCTATTTTATATTATGCGACTGCTCTTCGCTATTTGCTTTCCTCTTGAGTAGTTCTTTGAATTTGTTTTCTGTTGAAAAGCTAACTCTAGGGTTGTTTTTGACAGGTGATATTTTTTACAGGAATACCTATGGTTGACACATCTGCCAAAACGAGAATGGGCGTCGACGACGCTTTTTACACTCTAGTACGCGAAATTAGAAGGGTACGTTTATTTGCCTTCTTGGTTAGCTTTTGCTTCTAAGGTTCTTTCAAGCTATGTTAAGAATGAAGGAGTATGAGCAAGGCGGTGGTTCTAGTCAGAACAAATCACGTGGTT